GATTGTGGCGGTCGAGTCGCCGATCTACTTCGCCAATTCCACTTATATCAAAGAAAGGTAATTAGCAACCAAACTCGTGTTGCAATATAATCAGCCATTTCTAGTTATTAGAGTATGAGTAGACTTGTGTGAAAAATTGGTCAAATTCGGGTATGACTTTACACTATTCTAAAATATTTGGTCCTATAGGGTTAAATTACAAACTTGGTTCGGCCCGACTTTATAGTCGGAGTCGTAGAAATATATATATATTTTTTTTTTTTGTCAATTTTCATGATCAACTGTGGTTTAACAACAGGATAATGAGGTAGTCGGTCAAAACTGAAATAATCATTATATAGTTTGATCGAATTAAATCCGCTTTCAACTTTTAGACAAAATGTTGCATTTTGGTGCTTTTTCGAACCCAATTATGAAAATGAATCATATACACAACTTTTAGGATCATATAGCATATTAATTATTAAACTACAGTATGATACCTATCAAATTACATTTAAGTTATTAATTTTTTAAAAAAAAAATTATTAATATATATATATTTTTATAATGTGAAAAAGATCGACTTAAATAAGTTGGACCTCAATTCGACTATTTAAACATCAAGATCTAACTCCTGATTGGGTTGGGGTTTTGAGTGCATGCAGGATAATGAGGTGCATAAGGGAGGAGGAGGAGTTGATAGAGGGGAACAAGGAGACGGCGGGGCTGAAGTACGTGGTGGTGGACATGACGGCGGTGAGCGCCATCGACACGAGCGGGATCGAGCTGCTGTGCGAGCTGAGGAAGACGCTGGAAGGGAGGTCGCTGCAGCTGGTGCTGGCGAATCCGGGCGGGACGGTGATGGAGAAGCTGCATCTCTCCAAGTCGCTGCAGTTGTTTGGGTCCAACGGGCTGTTCATCTCCGTCGGAGAAGCCGTCGCTCACATTTCATCCCTCTCCAAGGCTCACCGTGAGGTCATTTGAATGATGAGGAATGAGGATGATGATGACCCCATACATATATATGTTTGTTCATTTGTTTGTATTAATGAGTCCAAATATGATTCTTTTTTTATTGCATAGGGGTCGATATGTCGTCTGTAAAGATTCATAAATAAAGTTTGTAGAGGTTATTTGATTTATTAGTGTAATGAAATGTTGTTGTATTATACATGAAGATTAATATCCAATACAGATTTGGATATAAAATAAATCCAATACAAATGCTTCATTGGATGAAAATGGGATAACGATGATTTGAATAACAAACTTACACACATTTTGCGCGTTAAGTTGTTAATAGCAAGGATTGTAAATCATATTGGAGATTGTACCGGAAACGTCAGTGAAAATATACTTTATATTAGAATAGTGGGGCCGGATAGCATAACAACAGTCCTTATGCTGTTAGTATAACAACAGGGGTAAAAACGGAAACTCACAAAAAATAATAAATTAAAAATTGAATCTCAACACCACCACCATTGCCCCACCGCAGCGATCATCCAATTATCCAAAAGTGGATTTACAGCAATGGAGGTGAGCAGCTAGATGTTGCAGAGATCATCCGTTTCGTTCCGACGTCAGGGCTCTTCCGGTCGGGTCTGGGAGAATCTCAACGCCGACCGAAGCGGCCCGCTTTTGAACGTCAGCGACAGGAGCGGCCCGCTTCTGACCTCTTACAGCGGCCCTATCTCCGCAGGCCCTACCTCTTACAGCTTCCTCTCTCCGCTCTCGAAATGGATCGCAGCTCCGCTTCTTCTTCGAGGCCCTCTCTTCCTCGCTTCGCCGCCGTGGAAGCTGCTGCAGTCCTCGACTCCACTCCACCTGCGCGGGAACGGTGCCGCCTTGGCGCTGCTGAGGAAAAGGAGGGCGGAGGCTCTGATTAGGTTGAATTCGCGGCTCGATTCGTTTAAGAGCAGGATCAACTCCTCCTCCTCCGCTGCTGTCGCGAATACTGCGACACCGTACGGGGGCATCTTTGAGGAAGAATCGGGAAGAAATAGCTCGGCGGCGGAGGAGTGGTTTTGGGACAGTTTCGTGAATTGGCCTAATTTTATCTTGATCAGTCGCTTGGTCTCCGGGCCTTTTCTTGGATGGTATGGAAAGTGGAATCAAGATGCCCTCCGAGTTCCGATTGCTGTTTGAAATTCTTCTGGTGGATTGATTAATTGCTATGCAGGATGATTGCTAACGAGATGTATTCTGCTGCCTTTGTTGGTTTGGCAATCTCTGGAGCTAGTGATTGGGTAAACTTGAACTTTTGCCCTAATTCTCGTACAGTGCTAACCTTGAAAAGGCGGCAATGGTGATCATATAGAGGACGATTTCTACCTTGGTTCCTTCGGACAAATTGGAATTTACAACTAACTAATGAACGTAAGACATTGATATTGAGAATCTCTCTTCCAAGGAAGGTATTTGAACAAGACAAAATTACAAGATACATAGTTTCAAAAGGGAGAACTGCTGTTTCTGACATTACAAGGCTGACCAAAACTTTCAAAGTTTCGAACAGCGATCAGAAGTACCGGCGGCGAAATGGAGGCGGCGCCTATTTCTTCATCCGGTGACTACTTCTCGTACAGTGCTAACCTTGATTTTGAAGAATTGACAGAAAAGAGCACGTTTTTCTCGTGAACAAGATGTGTCTAACCTAGACCATAACTATTTCTAAAACACACCAAAAACCTTCTGATGCAAACCACAAATATGATAAAACAAATCACAAAAAAGCATACCAGAAACCTTGTAAAGCAAACCACAAGTCTCGTAAAACAAACCATAAATCTCACAAAACAAACCATAAATATTTTGAAAAGCACACCAGAAACACCCTAATGCAAACCACAAACATAGAAAAGCAAACCACAAAAAACAAACCATAAACGTCCCAATGTAGACCACAAATATATTAAAACAAATCAGAAACCTCGCAAAGCAAACCACAAAAGTTTCGAAAACACACCAAAAACTTCTTAATGCAAACCAGAAACTTTCTAATGCAGACCACAAATCTCCTAAAACAAACCACAAACCTCACAAAGCAAACCACAACATTTGCGAAAGCACACCAGAAACCTCATAATGCAAACCACAAACACAGTAAATCAAACCACAAAAAACAAACCATAAACGTCCTAATGCAAACCACAAATATATTAAAACAAACCAGAAACCTCACAATGCAAACCACAAAGTTTTTGAAAGCAAACCAGAAACTTCTCAATGCAAACCACAAACACGCTAAAGCAAACCAGAAACTTCTTAATGCAAACCACAAACACGATAAAGCAAACCACAAAAGGCTTACAAAAATATGAGAAACCAAACCATAAATCTCACAATGTAGACCATACATCCGGTCAACGAAGATAGTTGACCGAACTCCGGTGACCATGAGTCAGCAGATTCCAACGCCGATAGGCATATTCCGGCCCCGATGACTAGATTCCGACACCGGTAAGCATATTCCGACCACGGTGAGCATATTCCAGCGACAAAAAACATATTCCGGCGACAAAAAACATATTCCGGTGACCGGCGACCAGTTTCCGGAGACAGATGACAGAATTCCGGCAACCAAAATTTTGGCACGCAAATAAAAAAATATTTTTTTATATTTTTTAATTATTATTTAAACATATTTTTCATAATGACAATTATACCCCTGCTTTGATTTTACACTAGGTCAACTCGTCTAATAAAAAGTCATCACAACCCTACCTTCCTATTGGTTGGAGACTAGTGTTGTTACAATAACAACACAAGGGGTGTTGTTACCGTAACTGGTCCCTAGAATAGTGATTCAAACACTTCATACCGCCTACCGATTTTGATTATAATAGAAGATTTTTCTCATCGAACTTCTGATACTGTACAATTTTTCGATCCTTTTAATAGAGTTATACGATTTGTGTGGGTGGTTTCAACTTTCAACGAGTGAATTGAAATTTGCTAGTTTTGGGTTGAAATTCCACATTGTACAAAACCTGTTAATTTGCATGTGAAATTTGAGCCAAATATGATGATAGTTTATGGAATTTGAATTTTGGGTGAGAGACGTGCAGTGTATTATATCTATCTAGTCAAATTTTGTGACTCAAGCCATTGAGTCAAGCTTCCAAAACCCACCAAGAGCTCTCAATCCTAAAACAAAACATATTGTGGCTTGAACTAGTTTCTCTGTGTTCTCATTTGAGACCCATTGTTCTTGGTCAAATACCCAGGTGGCTGGCCTGAAACAGAGGCCACCTGTTTTCTTATTCCATTTGTCAACGTGTCCAAACGGCTGATTGCTAAACAGGTACGCCACTGGAGAAATCGCAACAAATATCAAAACCACACAGGCAAAACCCGAAAGACAAAAGTAAAAGATCAACTAAAGCTTTACATTCATATTCACTGAAACAAAATGCAAACCTATTCTCAGCGCTCCCTTTCCCAAACCATTAGGAACCAACCCCAAAATCTGGAGTGCCCATTCCTCTGTTGCTTCTTTCAAGCACAACAACACAAAGATGAAATACTGTATTGACCAAAATCACTTCTTCCTATTGTACCATTGGACATCTTGATAGCAGGGAGCAGGAATCTCCTCATAAGCTCATGAATCTGTGTCTATCCACATTGTTGAGTGCTGAAGAAGGTATGTTATCTATAGTCGGGAAGGCTCTCGCGCGGATGTCAAACATCTGCAGGCGATAGATTGATATTATTAGCACGGATGTCAGATATATCAGCTCAGAGAAACAGACAGAACTTAAAATGAATAACCCAAACAACAAATGTCTAGTCAATGCAATTTCGTGTAGTAGATTGGAGTACAGTGTTGCTGTCGTCTGTAGGTCAGCTAAAGCAACATGCATGTAAAAACTAAGAACTTGAGGATATCTGAACATGCACCAATTTTACACATATGTGGCAACACAGACAGTGGATGAAAACAAACAAATAGATGAAAGGAAAGAAGGAGAAAAAAAAAACATGAAACCAAACAGAACCAAAGAGCCAACAAAAATGGAACAAACACTTCATTTACACGGATTTTTCAACTACCTCGTTCAATGTAGTTCCATCAGGATCATGAAATTTTTTTTTTTACCAAGATTAAAGGACCAAAGGAAATAGGCAGATAGCATCAAAACTCAGAAAAGAAAGGAGCGGTAGGATGCCTAACAGCAACACTAAAAATGTTTGTCCAACCGAATGTAAGACATGCTCCTATATCACAAATCTACTTGTGTACAGATGAAACATGGGCCAATAACATGGAAATGGACATGAGTAACTTATCAATCAAACCAGCTACTTTGAAGAAGTCAAGGGCTAAGAATTACAAAAATTAGAGGAACAACTTTTCTGATTTTCCAAAATGCTAGTGTCCACCATAACCCAGATCAAGAAATGCAAACCTCCTATAACTTGGGGACTCAAGGATTATAGAAGGAGAATTTTCCCAGTAGTATTTGATGAAGCAAGCTTATGTTGCAAGGGAAAAAAAAAACTTACTTGGTCGATGATATCGGGTAATAGGGATTTCTCGTAGTTCACGCCTAATGCAAAGGTATTCGCCTAGCAATGCCATCACTGCAAGTCCAGTGAGGTTCACAACCCACCATGTCAGAGAAGAAGGCCATCCCCCATATATCAAGCATATAAAGAGATGGATGATGTAGACGGTTGCTGAAAAGTCTAAGCACTTCTTTGCCCTCTCAATCAAATAAAGCATAAATCCAGCGCTGCACAGAAAAACAAATATAAGCAATGCCACAAAATGAAATGCATAGGGCTTTTATCCGCCTATGACTCCTACTCATATCTAACATAAGAATTCATGAAGAATAAGCTACAAACCAATGCAAGTAAAAACAAGGATGACAGTTTCAAAGAAGAAACACCGTCAAAAGTTGCTGCAAAACTTACAATCTAAGAATACAGTCAAGCAGACAATTAAGAAAAAGAAGCATCAGTTTCAATTAAGCAAGTATGTAACGAAAGGAAGTAAATAGTAGGTTCAACCCATCATAAATTGTGTATGCGGCATAATAATGCAGGGGGCCTGTGCTATGCACCCAAAAACATAAGCCACCCCCGTTTTTCTTATGCTTTTGATGTCAAAGCTGCCAACTCGGCACTTTAGAGTTTTGGTGCTCATTCCAGCTTCCCATCAAAGCTAGCAATATATAGAGTCCACACGAGGTTGGCCTGTGGTCTCGATGCCAGTTTAGGTTGGACTGAGGCATGCCGAAATTGATGAAATGATGAATCCAAGTTCATAGTATGCAATTCATAACTCTTACCCACATAAATGCATAGCCATAACCAGTTTGTAAACAACCTCTTGTGTTCATATGATCTAAATATCCAGTAAAGAAAACAAGCTAAGATTATTAGGAGAGCATCAGATTCCACATACTCATTTCAGTCAGTACCAGAATCGAAATCAAGTTCGAGCCACACATGGCCATTGACTACCAAATGAAGGATATTGTGCCAAGAATGCTAATTCTTGCCATAACATTGAATTAAAGATGTTCCATGACTTTCTTTTCCCTCCGGAACTCTACTTTCAAGTCTCCAAAAGTAAGAACTAGGTAAAAGTCGTGAACTTGACAACTCTGAGCAAACACCAAGTTCAAATGAACTGACGCTGGAGAGATATCATCCAACTAAACAACACTCTTTGAAGATTAACCAACTCAAAATGACATATAACACACTACCCTCTTGAAGTCAGAACACTGAAGCAAGTACCTAACCGGATGCTGCCCAAATGATAAGCACAGCTCATTGGGACAGTTAAAAATGATCCGACCATTACAAGCCTCCTACGAAATACCAACTACAGTCTGCATAGAAATCTAGAACAGATACACAAGTAGACAATCCATCACATACCAAGGCAACTAGGTACAAGACACTAAAGCATTATCCTATCAGTGGCCAGCCAGGAGGAAACAAAGGGGGGTGAAAACTGCTTACCCGGCGAGGGAGCTGAGCAAGAAGGAGGCGATAACGCACCATCCAGTGACGGAAGACGCGGTGACGGTGACGAAATCAAAGAAATAGACGAGACTCAGTCGGGAAACGCGGGTGCCAACGAAAACGGATAGGAAGAATCCGAGGGTGAGGTAGTAGAGGCATTGAAGGCACACGATTTGGGCGACGATAAGCCATGGATCCCATACAATTGAACCATAGAACATGACTGAGACTGATCCCCCGGAAGCGGGGAAAATTAACGAAGCAGATCGAGAGAAACTCCAAACACAAGGAACAGAACGAAGAAGGAAACCAGTGGGCGGGAGAGAGTTCAGTCGCTCACTGAAGGCGGCGCCGGACGAGTTGCGCAGCGACGACGAACTGGAATCAGCACGCGAATTGTGGATCGGATTGGAGAGAAAGTAAGATGCAAACGGGAGTTGGGGAAACCACAAATTTCCACAATTCTCGCAGATGCAGAAGAAGAAGAAGACGAAGGAGAAGGAAAGAGGTTAACGAAAAACGAAATCCTTCAAGTTAGCAAGCAGAAGTTACGACTGGTGAAGAGGGCGGCCGGAGGACTCCTTCCGGCTCTGTCTGTATTTCTTTTGTTTTCTGGTTGGACGAAGTCTTCTATCTTCTGTTCTGTTTGTCCCTTTTTCCCCTTTTTTGAGAGGTTACTTTTTGGTAAAACCCCAATTAAGTCCTAATTTTTTTTCCTTATGAGATTAGGCCCTAATTCTATTAAGTTTAAGTTTAAGCAACACAAGCACAATTAAATCATTAACCACTCCAGGGTCCAGGCAAGTAAAGTAGTAAACTTGACAAACCAGATGAGAGCAACAATCCAACAAACTTCTCTATTCACAAGAATTACCTCTCAGCTTTTACATGCCTGAATTCTCATTCGTACACTACGATCCCCAAGTTTATACAAAAGTTTCATATAGGGACACAAAAACTTGTCAATCGGCCAAAAAGTGGGGTAAAAGAATTTCGCAAGCAAAAAACCCAGGAGTGGAGTGGAGAGTGTTTGCATGCTGGACTGGTTACTGGGAACCAGTAGCTCTTTTCCTTCGAGGGCTTCTCTTCACTCCAGCACTGACCTTCTCTACTGGTGCTGCTTCAACCTTAACCGGAGCCTTGTCCTCCTCCTGCTCCTTAGCAACAGCTTTCTCATCATTCACAACAGTTTTCCCCGAATTCATCTGACTCCTTAACCTCAGAATCTCACCCTTGGCAGAAGCTAAATCTGATTCTAGCTTCTTAGCCTTCTTCTCAATGCCCTCCCTTTCCTTCCCCAGCCTCAAAACCATGCTGTGAGCATCTTCCATGTTCTCTTTCACCTCCGCCACTGCACTCTTCTGCTCGGCAAGCGACTTGTTCAACATCTCTTTCTCGTCCACCAGCCTCGAAATCTCCGACCTGGCAGCCTCCAGATCTTTGGAAATTGCCTCTGCATTCTGGTTCTTCTCAGCAATTGATCTTGCCGCATCTTCCAAGCTCAGTTCCAGAGCTTTCCTCGCCTCCTTATCCTTCAGCACCTGCTGCTCCACGCTCTGTATCTCCTTGCGCAGAGAGGAAATGAACTGCTTGTCTTCGATCAGTTCCTTGGCATTTGCTTCTGCTTTCTTATACACATCCGCCAACTCGCTCTGCAAGTTATCACGATCTTCTCTCACTGCTGCTAGCTCGTTTGACACGGATGTCAGCTCTTCGGTTGTTTTCTTCAGTTGCCCCCTTGCTGATGTAAGCTCATGAGCCAATATCTCGCCGCTTTGCTTTGCTGCCTCGATGCCCTTCCGAAATGACTCTCCAGCTGCATCGTACTCATCGTGAACACTTGCAAGCTCAGCCTCAAGCTGTGTGCAGCTACTTCTAGACTGCTTTAATAGGGTTTCCAGACCTGAAGCTTCAGTTTGCAACTTAGCAAGAGCTTCCTGGGTTGTGAGGAGCTCGTGCTTCAATTTCTTTCTACTGCTCGATTCAGCTTCCAGCACCCTCTTCAGTTCTTCCCTTTCTTGGTCCAAATCTGCAATCTTTTTCTCTTTTCCATTCGCCTCATTGATGGAAAGATCAAGGCTCTGGGTTAAACGCTGAATCTCTTCTTCTCTCTCCCCCAACAGCTTAGCATCCAAAGCAGCTTTATTGTCAGAGGATGACTTGAGATCATTGTACTCCTCCTGGATACCAGCCAGCTTCTTGTTAGATTCATCCCTCTCTGAAGTTAGAGAACTTACTTCCAACCCTAATTCATCCACAAGAGCATTCTTCAAATCCAGCTGCTGCTTAGTCTCCAAGAGTTCATCTTTCAGCCCACTGATTTCCGTGTGTGCTCTAGCTAAGTCCTTCTCCACTTGCTTATAGGCATTCGTCAAATTCTTCAACTCTGATTCCTTCTCGTCCAGTGAAGAGGTGAGCTTTTCAGCCATCCCTTCCTTTTGTTTCAGCTCGAAATTGAGCAGGTTAACTTTCTCTTGTAAGCCTTCAATAGAACTGAGCTTTTCCTTCAGTTCTTGTTCAAGAGCATTCTTCTGATGTCCAGCCTTCGATAAACTGTCCTCTAGACCCTCAATTTGAAGCTTGAGCTCCTCTATGGCCTTTCTCTCCTTTGTCAGCTCATTCCCTAAACCTTTAATTGTATTGTTGGCCGAGTTTAATTGATTTGTCAAAACCTGCTGCTCTTCTGTTGCCTGGTTGAGCTGGTTCTTCCGTTCTTCCCTTTCATTCAGTAGCTGTAGTTCATAGTTCTTCTCTAACGACTTGATTGCAGCTACCTTCTTGCTCAGTTCAACTGTCATCTGTCCAAGAGACAAATGTAGCCATCACCTTAGACTTGTATCATACTAAGCTATTAAACCAAATTATACATTAAATGCAGAGAAGAAGCATCACAAAAATAACAGTTGGGCAAAGGAGCAGCATCACAAAAATAACAATTGTGCTACTTACCGACTGAAGTGTTGAATCAACAGCTTTCTTTTCTTTCCGAGTCAAAGCATAGAGTGCACCAAGTACACCAATACCAACAATGCCAATTCCATTCAGAAAAGACACAAAGGGCCTTGGTTCAGGATATGCTTGTACAGATACCTGCTGATAAGAGCATACACTTAGTTACCTTGAATATAAACAGAAATGAAAAGGGGTGAGTCTGGAAATTGCGAATCATTTATCGGGAAGATATCCAAACCTCTTCTTTCTGGTTCTGTTCAGTTGTCTCAAGCTCGTTTTCCTCTGCAATGAGATAGAAAATCATTAAGATGCTGAAGGTAAACGAAGAGACTGTTACACATGAACTCTTTAGAAAGTAAGAGCTCAGAAATTTCAAGAGGTCAACAGCAGCCACTAAAAACTCAGCATCTTTGTAAACAATTTCCGTCTGATGCTTCAAGCAAGATCTTAAGGAGAGAATCTTCCGTTTGATTCAATAAACTTCTATGTAATCCATGGAGAAAATCTTCAACAGGGGTGAATGCTTGAGAAGAAACCGATATCCTGAACTAGAAGCCAATCCATAATCAAGATCATGTTATCTAAGAACCCTAAATTTATTCATCAGAGCGAAGGTGGGCCATTAGGATTTCGGCGAACCAAGTAATACAAAGTCCACCCGATTCACGAAAAGGAAAGAAGTCACTACTAACTAGAACTGGATTTAGGCCAATAGTAACAGATGAATGCAACATGATCAATTAACAAACAGATAGAAATCTAACAATGTATCTCAATTAACGAAGCGTAGTGCAAGAAACGAATCCCTAAATCCACGAACAGATTGCTGCCACTGCCCGAGCAAGAAGTATCGACGATCCAACTTGAGAATCAGAAACCAATTGCATTCCACCAATTCAATCAAGAAGCAAAAACCATCGCAAGATACCAAACAAAATCAGGAAACGACTACTGGAAGAGAGAAAGGAACCAAGAAATCGACTCACTCTGAACGACGGGGTCCTTGAGAGCTCGGGCCCTGAGCTGCAAGAACGGAAGAAACGAGAAACTGGCTAGCAGAACTGCTCTCTTCTTTCTGTCGAAGACGTCTTTGGGGTCCTCCGAAGGCAAACAGCTAACCACCGCGGCTCTTCTCTTTCTCTTGGATCCTCCTCCATTGCCGCAGTTACTTGCAGAGAAGCAAGAAGACAGTGGAGCGAAGGGAGGGGGCGGTGACAGAAACGAAACGGAAGTGCTAAATTGAGGTTGCAGGAGGCAAGCGCCGCTCGCCGCGAACCCCATTGCGGCAGTCGGAAGGAAGAAGGCTCTCGTCGGCGATCGAATCAGATAAAGCGGGTGAAGGAGAAAAGAAAAGCAATGGCGGAAATGAAGAACTCTGGCTTGCTTCCCTCTCTTTCTCTTCTCTGCTAGTGGTTATTCTATTCTATCCTCCAATGAAGCTCGTGCTTTCAGAGTTCGTTATGTAAATGACTTAAATAGCCTCCCAGTTCCAAGATTCCGTTACGTTTCTCTCTCCTCCAATGAGCTTCCGGAGCTAGTAAATGACCCTAATACCCTTCGAAGGAAGTTTCCATTTGTTTCCTTTTCGGTGACGTGTAGTATTGTAATTTAAATTTAATCATTTTCTTTTCAATTAGATTTTTAGCGTGTATTGTGTTAGTGTATACTGTTTAATATATTTTTTTCGACCTAAAAAGAAAGAATAATAGATGTTTATTTTCATTAAAGTTACAAGTATTATTTGAAAATAAAATTGTGATAGTATGACCATTCTTGAGGGAAAACTTTTTATTGATGTATTTATTTTATTTCAGTACTCATGGCACGAGTGCCATGTAGTTTTGATTATCTTTTTTATACTCATTACGTGCACTTATTAATCCTAAAGAAATTTAAATGCACTTATGAGAAATAAAAAAATAAATTAGTTGCTTTATAAGGCGTATGCAAAGAGCTACCATAGTTTGTATTATTATTATTATTATTATTATTATTATTATTATTATTTATAAATCAGTGCCTGTATGCCTTATATTTATTCATGAGTCAAACCAGCACAGTCACTAATGAGAACGGGTACAATGAAACAAGGTGGCCGGTCGAACCATATTTCGGTTTCTTCCCAATGACAAAGCACCCGAGCCAATTGATGGGCCACTGTATTCCCTTCTCTCCCCCAAAATCTCCATTTCACCTCTTCTCCTTCCACACCAGCCCTTATCTCTTCGCAAACAGTGTCAATTTCCAGATTGATCTTCTCCTTCCCCTGCAACTTAAACATGAGACTTTGGCAATCTGTCTCCATCATCACTGGGAACAGATTATGTTGTTTCACCAGCTTCAAACCCCAGAGGAAGGCCTGCGGTTCCGCCATCTCCGGCCTCCACTTTATTCTTGTGCGGCTTACCGCCGCCATTACGAATCCTCCATCTCCATTTCGCACCACCAGACCAAATCTCGTCCCTCCTTCCTTCAGAATACATGCATCAACATTCGCCTTCAAGCCCTCCTCTGGTCGCTCCCATTTGTAGGTTTGGCTATGGCGTATCGACGGCGGAGCTGGTCCCTGCACTCTACGAAACTCTTCCAGGTAATTCTGGGCTCTTTCAACTACTTCCCACTCTTCCAATTTCTGGTTGTTGAAAAGATGGTTGTTCCTTTCTTTCCAAAGGAACCAAATTGTAATTAGGAACTCGCATATCTCTTCATCCTTTCCATTTTCCAGAACTTCACACAGCCAATCTGCGCAGCTTCGATCTTCACCCATTTCAAACAGTCTTCTTAGGAAGCTAGGTCTCCAAATCCTCCCTGACCAATCGCATTCTCTGGTTATGTGTTCTTGAGTTTCAACGAGTCCACAAAATGGTCATCCATCCTCCGCCTCTAGTATTCGCTTTACTAGGTTTCCTCCTGTTGGCAGAATGTTTGATCCCCATCTCCACACAAAAACTCTTACTTTGGGAGGGAGTTCCAAATGCCACATCCTTTTCCAGTCAATTGGCTCATATTGCTCTGGTTGATCACCCATTTGCTTCTTTCTCCATTCATGATATCCCATCTTAACATAGTTCCCGATCTTTCCTTTATCCCAACACCACTTATCTAGTCTTGGTTGAGCAGGAATGGGAATTGATTTAATTCGTTCTCGATCAATAGGTTGGAAGTGTTGTTGTAATAGATTACTTCTCCATGAACGAGTTGTTGGATCAATCAAATCGATCACCCTTGCATTCATCCCCAGACCTGTGACTGTTGTTTGCACTTTAAAGTCCGCCGCTTCTGGTATCCACCTATCCCACCAAATTATGATGCTCCTTCCATCCCCCACCCTCCACCTTGTTCCTTCCTTCACCAATCCCTTTGCCAACATAATCACTACAACAAATTCGGCCTGTTATGACGCGTCCATTTAGTCATATTAGATACCTATTTTGTCATATTTGACCTGTAATGACAAATGCCTTTGTCACAATGGTTTGTCATTTTATCGCCGTCAAGATAGATCAAATGTGACAAATTGTTGAACAAAATTTGTCACATCTGGTTCCGGTATATATGAGGTTCTGGGTGGTCTATTGTGACAAACAGAGATATTATGACGAATATATTTTGTCATTATATTTGTCATAAATTGTTAATTTTTAGAAAAGTGTTTGTCATATTAGAAGATCATAGTTTGTCATAACATGATTTTGTGACGAACAGGGTTTGCCATAAAAGGTTAGTAATTTGTCCCACGCCTATTATGACAAAATATTTATTTGTCAGGATATTTTAAAATGTGACAAATGTCTTCATTATGACAACATGTTGTGTCATTAATTTTGTCATATTACTTTCTTTCTACTCTTACATCCCACTGTTGTGACTAATTGATTTGGTCATAATTTATATTATGACGGATATCCTTTGTCATAACTGCTTCTATGACGAATCAATTTTGTCATTCCTGTACATTAGGACGAACAGATTTTGTCATAACTTATAATCGTGACGGGGCGGTTTTGTCGTAACTGCGTTTTATGACAAGTATAGCTCGTCATGAAAGATGGCTTAATTGACTTCTGTGTAATATGACAAAGGGGCAATTTGTCATGGATTTTACATAATATGACAACTTTCTAGTGTTGTCACATTTGCCCTGCTTTACAAACTCCATAATGCGATAGTGCACTCTGCCTTGCAACCTGATCATGGAAATATTTCCATCCATCCAAAACAGTACATCCATTTCCATCCCCATAACAGTCTACCTCCTTGTTCAACATAAACAAACATTCTAAGTTCCACCATGACACAACACATGAAACTCCTTGTTCACCGGTACACAAACCACGGTAACTTTGTTCACAAAAGTAGAAACTAACATACTTCTAACACCAACAAATAGCTTGCAGTCTCATCTGGGTCTGCAAACCGATGCAGTGTTGTTACCTTGGACTTGGCAGTTCATTTGCGGGGTAGTTGGCGAGCAATCACTAGCACTTGATGCTGTAACTTTTCCTGGGCAGCTTTCATTTGGTTCATCACCTCTTCTTGAGTCTCAAACCTCTCCTCCTGGATCTGTAACTTTTCTTCCTGGAGTTGTATCTTCTCGGCCTGGCTTTTTAGCTGCTCTTCTTGACTTTGTATCTTCTCCTCAAACTCCTTAGCCTTTCTCTCTGCTTCAGCTCTTGCTGCCTCCAATTCCGCTTGGAGTTGTTGCTCCTTTGCTGATCTTGGGTTCTCCTTGGGTCCATACTTCAGCTTCTTCTTCAGGACTGTCTGAACAATCTCGCGGCCTGATAAAGGCTTCCCCTCTGCCTTTGCTTCTATCCAAAGGGACTGCATCTCCAGCTGCACAATGAACAAAACGTGTTAATTAAACAGGTCACACGGTTGGCTATGAACTTCTGACAATGAAACAATGCAAGTGATATGGTCGGACTCACATAGTTTTTCATAGGTTCCTCCGATACCCAACTACCATCAGCCTTCTGATACCTCTTTGCATAGAGAAGCATATCTAGTGGCTCCTCCTCTACGGTCTCACCGTCCTCCATTTCTGTTGGCTGCTCCTCTCCAGTAGGCTGCTCCTGCTGCTTCTGCTTCTTCTTCTTCTCCTACACAAAGCAGTTACATTGAGGCAGATTTTAATCACATAACTATACCGTATAAATGTTCCATGGAATTGTAGACATCTTACCAATTCATATATTCTTTGATCAAGAGATTTTGCACCAGAAGTGTGTGCATACACTTGCTTACTCTTGTTGACTTTATTAATTTCACTTCGCTTCTGCATACGACAAATTTAATTAATAAGCAACCTTTGATTGTAAGACAAGGTAACAAAGGAAATTTATGATGAAACAGTTGGATTTACTCACTCGAAACTTTTCACTCTCAAAGTGATCACACAACAGATTCCAGTCCTCTATATTCATGTCAACAGGAGGGTCTGTCCTGGCTTTCTCAGGGTCTTTCAAGTAGTGAGCATGCATCGCATACTTGTAATTGATGAACCTCTTCTTCATTCTCTTCTCCATAATCTTCCTTGCATCTTCACCTGCTGTGTCTATGTCAAATTCATCCTACATGAAAAAATAATTATATAGTTCATATACGAACATATTATAACACATTTCTAAAAAGATATACAACTTGCATTTTATACTTATCTAAAAAGAATTACAACTAGATTCACATCAAACTACCAGTACTGGGAAATTACCTCTAGCTTCTTGAATAACGGGTGCTTGTCTGCTTCAGTCAACTTGGACCAGTAGTACTTCCTTATCGGGGCCATCAGACGTGTTACGACGCCCAACTCTGTCTTCAGCAAGCTCTCATTGGGCCCTACAAATGACTGCCCATTTTCCATTACGTAAATTCCATCTATCTTTCCTCCAGTTCCGGTTCTCTTCATTATCTCATACCCTTTGGACAGTCCCCTCTTTTTTGTCGCAAGGGGTGGTTCTAATCCAGTTGGATTACTACCTTCTCCGTTGTCATGATTGGATGCTTCTTCCTCCGAATCGTCATTGCCACTGGGTTCCTCTGGATGCACAGTGTCGGTGCGTTGACTGTCCTCGTTCACTATGGCTCCAGTTCGATGTCCATTCCCCCCGCTTACAGATTCGGTGGATCGAGCAGGTTCCGGGCGCACCCTCCCTGATCTGGTCGCCCGATAAAACTCAGCGATAGGTACACCCTTGTCAGCAGCGGCCTTCTTCTTCTTGAGTGGTGGCATACCTACACCAAACAGAAAAGTCCAAACAGAAAGCAGTGTCTAAATCCAGCAAGATAAAGAATGATAAGAAGCAATTAGTAGGCTGGGAAGCAGCTCAACTTATGTGGTTTGCAATTTCAGAAATCGAAATATGTACTCCATCACAAAATGTAAGTTCAATAGAGGGGATGTCAATTGACAGTTCAGTAGAACAACACTGATCCTCTAAAAGCATGCAGTCTTAATTAACAAAACTGATCCTCTAAAAGCATACAGTCTTAATTAACAAAAGATCATTAGCAAATATGACCAAGGATGACCAGAAGAAACAAACAAACACAAAATGGAAACAAAATCAGAGTCCAAAACTCAGTGAAACTAACTATGAGATTATTGGCGAAGAAAATTGCATAATCTGAATTGCCCACAATACCTCAACCCTCGACCCAAATTCACCAAACTAATAACAAAGTCTTCAAGGATTGCATGTGAAAAAATTACAAAGCAGAGGTGCCAAAAAATGAAGATTACGGGGAAGAATCGTCAGAGAGAAATCGCAAATGGGGAGGTAGCGAGAGAGAAAGGTTGGAAGAAGAGGATTTTAGGGTTTTCCTTTGACAGAGACGAAGGACTAAGGTCCTTGTCTTCGGTTTGTTGTTTTAAAGTAGGCCCTTTCGGGACATAAATCAATTGTGGGCTGTGATGCACGAAATCATGTGGGCTCATAACCACACACATTCATTTCAATTCTCTAACAAAACTCAGACAAAGCCCTACACAAAAGCTACCAAACTGCACCAGAAACCCAATCCATCCTCAAAATAAAGGATCGAATACACAATCTGGGTTTATGCATCGCCTGGGTTCATATTAGTACCCCAAAAACGAAAAAATAAACCCTATTGTCAGACTCCATTCACCTCGAGTAAACATTCATATAAATTCAATCTTCTTATTCTAATCTACCCAAAAATCACCAAAATTGAATCTAAGGCCCGCAAAAAGCTGTACACATATATTTACCAAATAAATCTGCAAAAAACACAGCTCGCAACCAATAATCTGCTACTGTGTGAAAACCACTATAATTAGCTTCTACTGTTATCCTTCTTCTTCCTGGTCACTGAACGATGGATCAGACCCATCTTGGTGTTCAACATCATTACTGTTCAAATGATGGTCATCCAATGTGTCGTCATCCATGTCATCATCGCTTGCTTCTACTGATGCTGATCATCTATCAAATGATCGTATCACTGTCTCAGTAACAATTGTTGGTGCCTCGTCATCACGACTCAGATCCAGTAACTCACTTTCACTAACATGAAAGTCCGAAAGATCCACATCCTGTTGGTATGGCTGATTTTCAGACAATGGATCCCCATGTATTGCTGCCTCCTTCTCGGGGACATCGTACAAACTTCTGGGACATACCTTGTGGACAATATGCCATGCACCACCATTCTTAATATCGGCAATGTAAAACACTTGGTTAGCCTGACTGGCCAATACATATGGGTCCTCCGCACCCCATTTTCGATCCATGTTTATGCTCGTCAAGTGTCCATCCGTCCTTATTCCATTCTTCTTGTCACCCACATTGAACCACTCGCACTTGAATATAAAGACCCGATGCCCTCCAGAATATTGAAGCTTAATTATCTCGATCAGAACCCCGTAATACTCTATAGTCTCGCCATTGTGCTCGCCCCTAACCATGACACCACTATTCTGATATCGAACCCCGTTAATGATGAGTCCAGGATATCTAGTAATCCTTTCATCAGCCCCTAATCCTAGGACATATAAATGGTCAGTCTCTTTAAGCGTGCCAGCCAAAAACTTTTCGGAGACCTAAAACGAAATGAAAGGGGCCAAAAATTTAAGAAAATGATGTTGTGAGTAAGACAAAGAAAAAAGAATGGAAAATGTTGGGCTTACAAATGTTTTAAACCAAGATGGGAAGTGAGCTGCAATGGATGATGGGGTACTATTTGGATAGCTCAAGAATCTCTCCCCCGTATACACACTGTAATGGCACTTATTAAGCACAAAAAAGAAGAAGACAAAACTAACTGGGGTTTTGAAACAAAACAGAAATCTGAACACAAAGAAGAAGAAAAAAAACTTACTTCAATTGGTCTTCAATTTCATCACAATTAGTGAAGACATACCATTGGATCTTATGGAACTCAGCCTGGCCTATAGGCTCATAGTTAGCAGCTCCTATAGATCTACCTTGGTGACGGAAAACATCAAACCCATTATAATCTACATCGTCCAACCCATCATCATTCCTGTCTAGCCTA